ACAGCTGCAGATTTCCTAAAATAACAGAGGAAAAAAAAAAAGCTGAATTATATATAATTTGTTTTGGGAATGTTTAATTCCCGAATTAATTTTTTTATTAATCTGTGAACCTTGGTGTCAAATTTTTCTTATTGCTTAATATTGCTTAGCTCTTCAGTTTGCAGATCCCCATAATTCCAGCTATGACCAGGCAGTCACATCTCAGTTATTTTTCTTCTGTCATTCCTTGTCATTATTAGCTTTGAGGTCCTGAACACAGTCCAAGGGGAATGTCACTCTCAAGAAGAAGCAGGTACAGATTCTAGCAGAATGCAAGGAGTAAAACTATTACAGCAATTTATATGATCCTAAAATTTAAACTGATCCAGGAACCTCACTACACTGCTGCCAGAAAGTAACCTGAATTTCTTTTTAAATAATGTTTTCCAGTGTTTCTGTCACTGATCCTGGAGACTCCAGAAACAAGTCCTCTACTCCAGAAAATCCCCCACCAGATATATCTCATAACTAATTCTCTCAGCCAAATGATCTGCTTAGATTTTTATCCATATTTTGCCACAGGAGAAAGTTGCACCAAAAAGTTAAGGTGAAATAAACGTTATGCTACAGCTAAGAAAAGAAGGAAAAGGAATGCAAGTCATTAATGCAAATTTATTTACTATAAAAACAAATAAACCAACAAATCACACGCTGTTTTACTAAGACAGATCACCTAATACAGCTAAGCTTTCAAAATAAATTTTAGTACGTTTTTATAGAAATCAGAAGAGTTTTTAAAGCACCAGCCAATAGATCCACTTAACAGTGTGCTACTAATAGTAATACATTTCTTAGATGTTTGCCTAGCAAACAGCCCCAGAAAAAGTCGACTACTGCTACTTCCTTGGTGAGAGTTTTCTATCCTTTCAACTCCTAGGCAATTTCCTGGTTCATTCTTTTTATACTACAGTAAAAAAATACACTGTATTTTTTAGTTAGTCCTTATAATTTGCAGAGTTTCAACTTTAATCTTTAACTTTTTGATTTAAAAGAGTTCTTTGCAACATCTTCGTAACACAGAGGGGAAAAAAAAAGAAGCCTACATTCTTTATCTACTGTGCTTTAAATATCACTGAGTTATTTTCCTCACCAGTTTGCTTCTACATAAAGGAAAAAGGGTGGCATGCACATGATAGGCTGCATCAAACACTTACAGAAACTTTAAACCATTATTTGTGCAGCTTTGGGTTTTACTTGCTTTAAAAAAAAATAATGGTTTGTGTGAGAAAGTAAAAGCATCTATCATCTACCGTGATTGCTTTTTGTAATTTTTGTGCAATTATTCACACTAATTAACTAAAGATGTGCAGTGAAGAGGCTGGGAAGTTAAACACCATTAGGACTGACAGAGAAGTTGACTGGTCCAGCTGTTTCAGAAGGGTTTTAAACATCATTAGGACTGACAGAGCAGTTGACTTGTCCAGCTGTTTCAGAAGGGTTACGTGCTGGACAGCAGTAACAAGTCTTGGGATTAGAAAATGGTATTAAAGTAGCTAATTGGTAAAGCAAAGTATTTTCTCACACGATTTTTCATCCAAACATCTCTACGAGAATGAATCTCCTCCTCTCCATTCCCCTAGGCTGAAATATGCAGATATCACAAAAAACCCTCAATACTACTCAGCAATCAGAATCATGCATTTTTAAATAAGAGCAGAAGCACAGAAGCAACTTTTGGTTAAAATTGTCTTTTGACTAAATGGAGCTCTGAATTTAACCTCTTCATTTGGGGCCTTATTTTAAAAGGCAGGAGTGGATTTCTCTTTAGTTATCTTGTGAAGTCATTGGTTACCTTCACCAGGGAGAAGACAGCCAGGCACACACGGCTCTAACTGTCATACTGTGACAGAGCCCTGCAGAAAGCAAGAACATGGAGAGGCAAGTCTGCTCCAGAAAACATAAATATAAGCCCAGTTTAGTGACATTTCAGAACAATACAGGAAAAAGCCTTTTCTCTGAGAGGTATTACTTGTTGATAACTCTGATAACTATAGATGTTCTGTACATTATTTTAAGTCATAGATGCACAAGAATTTTAAAATCTGGCATAGCTGTTTTCATTTGTATTTGTGATGAGCAATTCCTGTCTTTGCCAACACAAACACAGATAGCAGCCTCATCACTTGGAGCATCAGCAGGTCCAGAAGTGTGCTGTGCAGTTTGAACTGTTCTGAGGTTCAGCTTGAGCTGAGCCTGGCTGAGAGCTGCTGCTTCCCTTCCAAACTGCTCTTCCAAGCAGTTGTCAGACAATGGAATTTATGCATTTATTGTGTCGGCACTCCTCAGGCAGCCCCATCAATGGGTACAGTTCTAGGAAATATTCACAGAGCACTGCTTTTCCCCTTATGATCAGCCAGGTTTGAAGTCCTTTTGAAGTTAATTGTTGTAATTAATTATCAAAAGTCAAATTAAGCCCAAAATGAATAGAACAGGGATTCAGACGTGAAGCCGTATTTTTTTTGTTGAGCATAGGTTCAAGATAAGCAAACAAAAATGCAAACCCACAAAAATCCCACAATGCAAACTGATCCACAGCTATATATTATAAATGGAGAGAAATGGAAAATATGTATACATGTAAGTTAAGCCTAAAAATATATAAGTTGTCACATAGGGCATTTTCTGTGTAAGTTCTGAAGCGTAATGAGGATTTTTTTAAAAACAAGAATCTGTACAATTTGCACAATTAAATAATTGGTTTGTTTGTGAAAGTACAATAATGCAGTGGCTGCCATAAAACTCATCTGGTCCCTGAGATAACCCTGCTTCTTCCAAACACCATTATCCCAGACTGATAATGGTCAGCCTCCTGAGCCCAGCTGGGTGCAGAGCTCACGTCTCCCTGCTTCCTTGATCCATCCCTCTTGTCTCAGCTCTGCACTGAGTATTGAACTCAGTATTGATTCCTTCAGTACTGAGGATTTTTGTCACTTCTCAGGTCTCCAGATGTACTCACACACAGACAAACATGGTCTTGTTTTCACAGTAGACAGCTTTGGGCTGCAAGGGAACTTAAAAATCATCCCCCAAGCCCCTGCCAGGGGCAGAGACCTCTTTCATTGGACCAGAGGACCACAAACCCCAATTCCTTCTCTTAAGCTCTTTGATGTTAACATGTTATTTTTTATCCACTCATTGCCATCTTCTCCTTTGAGCTATTTTTCCTATCCAGAACAATTGCAGAGAACCTAAGGCTTATAACCATTAACCTAGATCTTATTTCTCCAGTGCCTTATGGTCATTTGGACAATGCTCTCAGGAACATGGTGGGATTCCTGGGGGAGTCCAACTGAGTTGGACTCAATTGAGGGTCCCTTCCAGCTCAGGGCATTCCGTGATTCTGATATTATTTGTGTATCTAAACCATCACAGCAAACCTTGATCCAGGTCTGTCATTTCTTCATTGTAAAGGAATCCACCTGCCAGCTACCACTGTCCTGCCCAAGAATTCCAAAGGCTTGTCTCAACCACCCTGCTAAAATATATTCCTTGACTAATGCCAACATTTGATAATATTTCTGATACTAATTACTTCCTTTAGGAGCCTCTGAACCTGTGGAAGAGATTTACTGTTGCTGTCAAATTTCAAGCATTAAGACAGCTCAACACCAAAGGCAAAACCATCCTGTTAACAGCACACTGACACTACCCCTAAAGCCCAAGGTACTTCACTGCTGATCATATAAAACCAAATGTTTACTGTAATGCCCTCCTAGGTAATTTCCCAGCTTTCAAACACAATCAAGGTTTAAACTATTCTCAGTTACAAAAAAAATTTGAATTTTCACCTGGTATGCTGCTGAATGTTGATGAAAAGCAGAGAAAAAAAGACTGATAAAAAATTCTATGAATGCATCATTTATTTTATATTAAATTTATTGCAATATGAAACTAATATTCCCCTGGGCTGTGCTGAAGAGCTAAAGAACTCCTTGGTAAGTATGCTGAACACAGAAAGAATGCCTATTGTAAAATTCGAAGTACAAACAGCAGAGATTCCTGAATGCCTAAGAAAGCTGACAGGTTAAATCCAGGTATTCCAGTTGCAGCTAAGATGAAAATATAAGACAAAGAAATACAGATCTGCACTATTTTCCTGGAGGCATTTAAAATACAGGACTCGGGCTAAGTCTTTTATGGAACCTCATCCTGCACCTTTGCCTTTCCTGCCACAGGAAGCCAAGATGTGAATTTTCATCATTATAACAACTTTGGGCCATTTCCCCTCTGGATGGCCTCTGGCTGAAATCACAGCAGAGAGTTCCTCCCTCTTAGGGCATGTGGCCAAACACAATTACCCAAATTGCCTTACATGTTCTTACAACTGCTTCCTTCAAGTATTTAAATGAAGAATATGAGATCAAGTGATTTTTTTCATTTAACTTCCTTAAAAGCAATATTGTATAAAATTTAGCATCGATCTTGCTAAATGTGTATTATCCAATATAACTCTAATACTTATGCTTAGTTCCATAACTTTCTTCAGGTGAAAAATATAAATGGTTTTTGATCCATGTAGTCTTATATTTTTGTCCAGAACTGGATGTTCTCTACTACCAGACAAAGCAAGTCAGCAGTAGCCCATGCAAATATAACTCGTTCCTCAGCAGCTCAATTAAAAAAAAATAAAAGGTATTTCTTTTCACAAACTACACACTTTTCAAATTCCATTAATTTCTATGGCACACGATAAAAATGTTAATAGGTTGTAAAATGGATACACTGCCATTTCTTTTCAATTTCCATGCAATGCATGCAGCTAAATATAACTCAAGCAATATGCTCTGTAATTCATAGCATTTGAAGTACAGCAGTTCTTAAAATGCCAGTTAGATATGAAAAACAAGAACCTGATAAATCCAATATATGGCAATAAAAAGGAGGAGGGGAGGAATAAAATAATTAATTACCTCATTATTCTATCACCTATCGCTGTTCCTCTGATATTATATCTAGTAAAGGGAATAACAACTGAAGTCATTCACAAATGCTGGGTACCATGTTTTTCAAAGGTTAGCATCTCTTACAAAATGTGCTCTATGAATTCCAACTGAGAAGGCTCCTTCCCAATGTATGAGTCAGTATATGAGACTACTTGGATTTCAGCAAAAATAGTATTCAGATTATGTAACAGCACACAAAGTTAAATTATAAAATGCAGTAACTCTTCATAGATCACAGCAGCTGTATTGTCATTTCCATTTTACATTCATATTTCTTTAGATTTTAAAACCTACTAGTTGTAGCTTTTTCCAGGCTTAGCCTCTGCCCCCAGATCAACTTCAAAGTCCAAACAAAATTAATTCAGTCATTTAAGGAGGAAATCAGCCCTCAGAGAGCTGTTTTGACTAATTTGTGAAAATTAAGATCAATCCATTAAAAACTGCACTCTCTGTGTATGAAGAACACTGCATAGATTTTTTTCCCTCCCACAGATTACAAGGTACCACCCTCTGTTTGAACTAAACTTGCTGGACCCAGAAAGTTTTAAAGAAGAAATGCCCTTGCATAGGTTCAGACTGAAAGACCTGCACATATTGTCTTATTTGTCAGAGAAGGCACCTTTTCCTGGGGATTCCCTAAAATGCACATGAGGTTATTTAGTCTGGTGAGTATCCAGCTAAACTGCTCTGCTGAAGAGAAGAGTTTTAATTTTTTTTTTTTTCTAATTTTAAAATATTCTGTGCACTTACTTATCCATTTTGTTAAAAAGACACTGCATTGACTGGGCCAACAACATGAAAAAATGAAATAACTGCTTAGCTTCTTTTAGCCACTTGTGGAGACCATTCCTATTGTGATACACAGTGGCTAAAAAAATGCTGCTGAAAATAGTCAGATGTTACGTTTTCAATTATTTCTTTTAAAGAAATGTCCTTCTGTGTCAAAACTCTTCCAAGCTGACTCTTAGTCAACATGCAGCTGATTTAGCCAAACAACCAAAGGATCGTGGTATTTCTCCACATTTTGCTGCTACTATTTAAAGTCCTTTTCAGAATATTAAAGCAGGTGCAGACTTTGCCCATTCCTTCCTGATAGCTCAGTTTCAGTTTAGCTGGTGAGAAATCACCTATCCTCATTATGTTTTGAGATTTATAAGCATCCACAATATGAGATTATGTCCCTTGTATCTATTTTTAGATTATTTGAGAAAAAATTCAAACCCTCAGCTTAAAAACATTACAACTTGGATTTGTACTCAGATAATATTCAAATAATGGAAGCCTTGTACAACTAGATTTACAAAATAAACAGATTTAATAAATCTGTTTTCAGATTTAATAAATCTGAAATCTCTATCAATTTTACTAAAAATAAGGTGAGATGCAGCAGGAAGTTCTCAATTCATTTAGAGCTCTGTTTAACAGAGCTATCAGAAGGGTATTTCTGCCACTTTTTTCCCTTGAGAGGAAGCTACAGACCATGTTTTCAAGAGTACAGAATCAGAAATCTACCCTTCTTTTTCAGTTAAGAAAGCTGTACTTCACTGTGGGAAAATGCCTTTGAGATATTTTTCTTTATCTTGAGTTTCTCCACCTGTAGAGTTTCTGCTCAATGTAAACAAGAGCTACTTGATTTATAAGAAAACACAGCCTAAAGAAAAAGAAATTGACTGTTGACAAAGCCAGTAATGCTACATCTTGGAAAAGGCTTATTAGTCAAACAGTTTTTAGCATTCTGTTTCAGAAGGTTGCAACAGCCTTTTTAAAATATTTTGTCCTATAGAAAAATGAAACTTTTTTCTGCATTACATAAAATATGTTCACAAAAGGTAGATTATTGCAGGCTAGTCTTTCTTCTTCAGAAAAAAAATTCACAACACAACCAAACCAAACCCACAAAAAAAAAAAGACCAAAGCAGCTCCCCCTAAGTATTTTCCAGAGGAAAAAAAAAATCTACTTTATTACTCAGATATTAATGCCATTAATTATCTTATGACACAGTGGAAAGTATTAGATAAACTTTAAAAAATGAGATTTAGTAAAGGAATTGTTAGGTAACACAATTTACTCAGGTATTGCTAATGGTCCTTGAGCAGGGTGTAGGAATGGAATCATGCAGCACATTGAGGGTGGGGAGCTTATTAATGGGGAGGGGACTGAGGGCCTTGAGAAAAAGAAAATCAGCAGTATAAAATTGAGTTGTATATCTCTGAGATTCCTTCTGGTGAAAGGGAACACTCATTAATTAGGAATGACAAAGTAGGAAAGAGTGCAGGTTGCTGGGCTTGTATCTGAGCACGAGCCCCCACTGGAACAGCAAGAGAAGAGGAGGACACAGCTCCAGCTCAGAGAATCCTCTCTAGACCAGGAGTGACAGCCACAGAACCACTCCAGCAAAACCCAAAGAGTGCAGGGGGCTGGGCTACCACATTCAGGCAAGAAGTGAAACATGAAGAGGAGACAGAAACCAGCATGATGGCAGGAAACCCAGGAATTTTTAGTGCTAAGAGTGAGAAAAACCTGGCACTCAGTCTAAGGAGACAAAACCTGAAAGTGGACAGGATGAACATCATTCAATGATGAGCACTGGACGTGAAAAATTATTTCAATCAAAGCAGAATGTTAGCATGGAACAAAATGACCAATTTTAGTTCATGTATATCCAAGGTAGCAGCAATGTTTTGAGTTAGCTTCCTACTTGTTAAGGGACATCAAGGATTGTAATCAAATTTGATCAGTTTGTCAAAGGGATTTTAGGCTATAATAACTGCCATAGGACTAGTAGAGAGGACCTCCAGTTCCTTTCATTCTAATATGAGATATAAATACTAATAGGACTTAGAGCTATAGCCTTTAAGCCCATCAGTGTCTGCTCTCTTTCTGGAAATCCCAATTCCTTTGAGCACACACAGGATGTCTTACTTTTCTCCTTAGTATCTCAGAGTGCATTTGGAAACTCCTGAAACCTGAAGAATAGCAGGGAATGTAATGCTCAGAAGTTAAACTGGAAAACTTCACTGCTTTCACACACACAAAAGCAGAACAAAATGGTCTGGTCAGGCATTAAACCTGAGCAATGAAAATTTCCTGCAGGAAATTCTAAACCAACACTGGCTACAAAGCAACTTTTTTCAGATTTTATTTGAGGGAAGAATGGGGGAGCAGGGGACTGCATAAAGGATTTTAATTACCTCATTCTTTTATTTGAATGATCTTCCCTAGGTGATAAATTTAAACAGTTACAGGAAGAAATCTCACCACACAGAGAGGAAAGAAGGCATGTCAGATAAATTGTAACTTCAATTAGGATGTCCCCACTAGTGGGAAATGGTAACAGCTGCCTGATACCTGCAAGTGTCATTCTTATCACATTGCTACAGAAACTATTACATCGTAGAGACAACATGGTGCATGAAGAGAAGCTATGAATCCTGCTTGAAAATGGAGATGGAATTAAAATTGCAGGCCTTTTCACAGCTTGCTCTTCAATCACTGGATCATAATGAACATTGACTCTGCAGGGGAAAATATTTCTGCCATTCCATATCTGCCTACAAATACTTAGTACTGCATGGAAAGTTAATGGATTAAGATAGAATCTATGTATATTGGCTTCTTCATAAACACTGTCATTTAGGGAGCAGAATTACTTGTGCTTTGTAATAAACAACCACTGACTGTTCTTTTTGTCATTACTGACAATGTTGTTTCTATTTCAACTGCAAATTATTCAAAATCTTCTCTAGAAACAACTGTTAAATTCTTCCTGATTTCCTAATGAATATATATTGCAAATTCCTGTGAAGAATTTGCATTTCTAGCATAAAAAATTAATAGCACTGTCTTTGAACAGGAGTAAAGCAAAGGTATCTGACATGAGGTTAAATTACATCTAAAGCTAGTAAAAAAGGTCTTGTCTGAAGTCTAACAACAGAAATGTTGCTTAAATAATTTTATAATTTTGCAATTAGTGAACAAAGGTATTAAACCAACAATAGCAAATTGAGGGTTCAGTTTACTGAATGATCAAACAAATATGTACAGCTCTTCATATAAAAAAGCACAGTTTACTAAATGCCTCTTTTATTAATGATAACAGCTAGCAGTCTACCTTTTTTTTTACTGACATACATAGTAATATTTAATAACCAACAAAAGGAAAAGGATTACAGTTTCTCTTTCAGAGAAAAACAAGAATGAAAAATTGAACAAATCAGTTTTAACATATGTACTACAAACACACCATTTCTGCACAACAGCAGTTAAAAGCTCTTGCTTTGCCAAAATAAGAACACCTAAGATACAGCTGAAAGAAAATGTAGGTCCCTGTACCCAAATTTATGAAGTTTCTTATGACTAGAGGGAGAATAATAAAAAATAAACTGCAAATGTTTAAGTATTCAGCAGGCAAGTGATCAGCATAAACAGGTATTAGATCTGCAAGAGCCTTCCTGGCTTGCAGGGAAAATGCAGCTGTACATATCTTACATGTAGGCAAATTAGACTCAGCCATCAAGCTCTTGGCCAGCTGTCAAAGAACAACTTAATCCAAGGATACGAGGCCTGAGTTTCTCGATCTTTCGTTCAAAGAAATAAAGAAGAAAGGAAAAAACAAAGCAAAAAGCATTTTGCCAGGCAGAGACAGGTATTGCCCTCACCTGTGTCCAGGGCCTCCTCGATACCTGGCGCCCGGGATCAGGACGGGGTCGTCGTCGCTGTCGTCGGTTTCCTGCAGAGCCGAGGTCCTGCTGGAGGCCTCGTCCGCAGCTGCGAGCCCTGAGGATTCTGGCTGGGACTGAAGCTCCTCGCTCACCACCAGCAGGGTGGCACTGGGGTCAGTGCTCTGACTGCCAATGTCTTGGTTTGCCCCCTTTTCACAGGAGGCTTCTTCCTCTGCAGGCCCAGAGACAGCATCAGCATTGGGGCCATTTTTTCCTGAGTGCTCAGGAGCAGGTTTATCTGCTAGTGCTAAAAAACAAATATTGGAGAAAATAAGTCCCACCATTAATGATTACAGTCAATTTTAGAAGTGGTCAGCAAAGTTAAATTATGCAACCTGAGTTCATATTTCATTCTTTACTTCTTCCTGTAACAATTTGAAAGAGTACAGATACATACTTGCTTCTGTTGTCTCTACAGCTTCATCCATATTTTTCAGCTCTTCAGCACTTACATCTTCCTTGAGAGATTCATCAGGAGCTCCTAAATTAAGCAATTTAATAGTAAACCACATGATTTCATTTAAATGCACATCTGTAATATAAGCAAGTCTAAATGACACCAGCAATCCAAGCAATCCACTCTAAAGTCAATGTCTCTATTGAAATGTCAGCTATCAGTCACATAAAAATGAGTATATATGAATCTATCTACCTGACCAGGTCAACACACTGGCAAAGAAAAATGTAGTCACTTCTTGTTGCTTAATGTATTTACAGCCTATGCTATGAGAACTTTAGCAGCAAAAGTAGCATTTGTACTCTTAATACAGACACTATTATTTCTGAAGACAAATAAAGTTACCAGTCTATTAAAAGGGATTTTTTATTTATTTTTCTTTTTTAGTATTTCTCTGGAACCAGTCACTTGACTTGACTGTCCTTCTGGCAATGAACTGAGCAAGACAAACACATTTAATAAAACACAGTGAAAGCTTGAAAGAAATGTAACAAAATTCCAAGCATTCATTTATGACTGCAAAGTGCAGTTGTTCTATTTTTCTATACAAATTGGGGCACAATGTGCCCCTAAGAAGAATAACGTTTTTAGAACTGAAGTCAAGATAAGTTAATGTTTATATTTATCTGCAGCCATCTCAGGCTGATGTTTTCTTTCCTAAAAAATTCATGCTTTATTATAGCTGTGTTCTGCCTTCATGTACATGTAGGAGACTCCCAGTGTGTGCAATGGGAGTCAGGGACATAGGAGAGCAGAATTCTTGCCCTAGCACTGGAAATTCCAATGTATCTTACTTGTTTCTTCCCCATCAGGCCCTGACTCGTCCAAAGCTTTTGTTTTTACAGAGTCTTCTTGGCCTTCAGTTTTGCAATGGCTTCCACTCCCTCTAGAGCTTGAATTTGTGCTGCTCCTGGCAACGTAACATGGAAAAAGAAAACCATTTAGGATCATGCAAATACATGAGATGATTGCAACAGCACAGCCTGACCGACATCGTCTGTCTCACTGCAGTCAAGTGAGAGCTCCTGACAGCAGCTACAACCAATTCACAGCAATTTCAAAATTATCTTTTATTGTGCCCATTGCCACTCATCCCACACAATTCCTCTGCATCACAGAACCCTGTTGTCTTCTTCCCATCTTTTTTTTTTACCTTTAAAGAATGTTTATCTTTTATATGTAAGAATGTTTACCTTCTTAATGCAAGAATTCCAAAGGATTTGTTTTATTTCCCTATTTGCACACATTTTAGATGTATAAATAATCAGAGATCTTCTTATTAGAGGTATGGAAAGCTATCAGCTGAGCACTAATAAATAACATTATCCCATTTAATTAAAATTTTTGATTTAGATAAACATCTCCAGGTCTTTCACCACTAATTTTCATTCCTGTACCTTCTGAGGTATGGACTTTCAGTTCCCAAATTTTTTTTATTTCTCAAGATTCACTATAAGATGCTATTTGACATCACTCCCCATTCATGTTTAAATAATTATTGTGGGACACCAATTTCTCTTTACAATATTGAAAATGAATCCTCAGGAAATGTGTAAAATGCTGTCCTGAATGTCATTGAAATTAATGTTTTTAGACTCTCTAGCAAAGACTTTCAGGAAATGCAGTCTTGTTGCTGAGCTCTCTTACATGATGTAGCCTAAAACTCAGGCAAATCATTGGACAAAAGCAGAAAAAAAGGCAATTATAAGCATGATTCCTAAGAATTTAGACTGTCTCTTTACAAATATCTTCTGACCTGTGTATGTTATTAGCAAATATTTAATTTGCTAATAAAATAATAAAATTTAATTGCTAGGAGCAGCACAGGTCATGCTCAGTCAAGGTTCTTGAGAACCCAGTCTAGACTTCAGAAATTTTATGCCTTATGTTAAAATCAGAGCTTTTACTCCTATTGAGCAATATTCTCAATATTATAACAAGAATATATTCTCAAGAATATGAGCAATATTCTGTGTATTTATTGCTGTACTGGATTTGAAGGCTGTAGGGAAATTTTTGCTAGCCCCTTTAGTATTTCTTCTAAATCCGGAATTTTCAGCATTGTTTCTGAATGGCCAGGTAAGAAGGGTACTGCTTATCTGTAAGATAAGCAAGTGGAGGATTTTTGCTATTTCACAATTGATACACAGCCTAAACAGCAAGGTGGGTTTTTTTCACTCTTAGGAATCTCCTTTGCAGCTCAATGCTCAATTTACATGTCCTCCTCTATTTCATTTTCACAACTTCCAATTCTCAGATTAGGGAGCAGTTATTTGTTCTGCATCATTTTGTCAGAGGGAATTGCATCCTGGCTCTTGTTGCTCCATTCTTCAGCAGAATGTTTTTAGTCAGCCTCAAAGCTGACAATGACTTGCAACTTTGTCCTACCAGAAACTGCTTCTTCCTCTCACTACCCACACCACACTACCCACCACCAAACTCCATGGAACTTGCTGACTAACTGCAGAATTAGGTAAAAGCATCATAGCAAAACTAATTTTTTCAAAGTTTGCTGGATCTTGGAGGCAAAATCAGAGATTTAAGTTTCCAAACTGTGAGCAAGGTGTATGTTTTGTGTCTAAAGGCACTTAAGTGTGGCTAAATGTGGCTGGGTTTTGTTTCCTTTCGGTAACAATGAGCAAGCGTTTCTCCTTACTGCCTCCTACAATAATTTTGAGAACATAAGTAGAGGAATAGAAATGAGATAAAATAAGGATGATGGTTGTTCTGGGAGATCCCAAAATGCTCTACTGATAGGCTTGGACACAAAGCCAAGTACATGAGCCATTAGACAGTGTGTGTGTGGTCCTTATTTGAAAAGGATGTCACCACTGCAACACCTAAGCAGTCCCCAAAATTGCTATCTCAGCTTCATGCATTCATTAGACACAGAAATACTAATTTCAGTGCTTACAACTCAGGAACTGAGTCACAGAAAGACTCATTTGCAGAATAGCATATCAGAAGTTTGGTAAGCCCTGGACTACTATTCCATCCCTGTACTACCCTGCTTTATAACACCTTGATATTATGCCTGGGTTTGATGAAAATAGCATGTTTCAAATTATGTTTGCATTATAGAAATTCACAGTATAGAAATTCAAGGAAGTCTGTTGTATAAATTTCACATTAGAGTATGTCTATCTTATGTTCTGAATGCATTAAGAACTACAGCCCTTTCAAATTGTGTAGCTACACCTAAAAACAGACATAAACCACAGGGAAAATAATTTATAGCTATGCTAGACAAGTGTTATTGATATGTGCTGATCATGAACTAGTCAAAACCTATATTAACTTGTTCTTACCACTCATCAGTGAAGTCCAGTTTTATTGTGCTTGTGGTCGTTCCTTCTGTACTGTAGTGCAAACTTAAAACTGGTTCACCTGTTCCTGTTCGTGGCTTATCACTCTCTGTAAATATGGGGTTGATAAAGTTTGAACAGGCATTAGAAGTGTACATAAAGTTGCTATAATTCTGAAGATAAATTTAATTATCAAATGTGGTAGTAAC